TCATATTCAGGTAAAGAATGTAAGACTAAGATATTATTTAAGAGTGTCAGTTAATAAAAAGTATTCATCTGGACTTTCTAAAGAACAAGAAATTTGGGTTATTAATTATCAAGATGAACCTACTAAAAATGATCCAATTTTAATGGATGTAGGTGTAGAAAAATGTGTAAGTATTGAATTTAAATATGCTAAATCATATTATAATTTAACTGATGTTGTATTAGGTCAAGTTTACTTTAAGGTTGTAAGACTTCCTTTGGCTAGTATGGAACTTCAAATCCAAAGAAAAGAAACAACTGGATTTCCACCAAATCAAACCGTTGATACTGAAGTTCTTTCTCGTTATGAACTTATGGATGGTGCACCAGTTAAAGGAGAATCAATGCCAATTAGAGTGTTTTTAGCTAATTTAGATTTAACTCCAACATATCATAATGTTAATAATATGTTTAGCGTCACTTATCATTTACATTTAGTATTAATTGAAGAAGATGGAAAACGTTATTTCAAACAATGTGAATTTAAATTATGGAGAAAACAACCTCAACCAATTAAAACATCCCCTGATGCTCCTATTAGTGTTAATACTGATTGTTTAGCTGGTTCTCAAGAAACTCCTTATAAAGGATCTGATGTTAACAAACCTTTACCAGAAGTTCAACCTCAACAATCAGAAGAACCAAAAGAAGAAATTAAAGAACCTGTCATTGAACAACCACAACAATCTATTCAAGAAGAACCAAAAGAAGAAGTGAGAGAAGAAATTAAAGAAGAACCAAAAGAAGAAGTGAAAGAAAAACCAAAAGCAATTGACATTTCTTCATTTATTCAAGACGATAAACAAGATGATGACAACTTATTTTAAATCACCTTTTCTTTAACGAATTGATTTATTCATGAATTTCTTTCATAAATTGTTATAATTTTTATTTTATTTAAAAAGAAGAAACAAAAAAAAATTGAATTATTTGTTAAACCAAAAAAAAATGAAAGATAATCATTCTTTTAGGTAGAAGAAATTAACTAAAATAAACAAACAAGTGTTTGTCATTAATCAAGAGCAAAGACAAATGGAGAAGAAGTTTTTGGACCAACAGAACCATATATAGAGACAATTTGTTCAACAAATACACAACTAACATCTACAATTCTAATTTTTTTACAAAGTTTTACAGCAAGTAATTGTGAATTAATATGAGAATTAGTAATAATAATTTTATCTATAGGACTTTGTTCTAACCTTTGAATAATTGATTCTTTTGTAACAGCAAAATGAGAAATAACACACGTAACTTTTGTTGCTCCATGTCTTAAATAATTTTCTGCTGCGGCAATTGCAGTTTTTCCTGAACGAATAATGTCATCATATAATACTACATGTTTTCCTTTACATTCACCAATAGGTTCTTTCATAATTTCAGGTGAATTTTCATTAAGTTCTCTTGGAGCTCTACATAAAACAATTCCAACTCCAAAAAGATTTGAATATGTTTCTACCCATTTTGGTCTTCCTAAGTCTGTTGTACCAAAGACTACATCTTCATTTTGAAAATCAACTTCTTTAGCAATAGCATTATACAAAGGTTTTTGAGCATATAATTCCATTGCTTGAGTTTTTTCAAAATAATGAATAATACCACTTGTATGAAGATCTAATAACAAATACAAATTACCTAATCCACATGTAGAAATACTTGAAAGCATTCTTACTGTTGACTTACAAGTAACTACTTCTCCTGGTAACGAAGCTCTATTCATTGTTTGATATAATAAATAGGGAATAACAAACACTCTTCTTCTTGTTCCTAATTCAGAAAGTTCAAGTCCAAGACGAATTAATTCTAATAATTCTTGATCATCAACCATTGAACAAACAATTAAAACGTCTTTTCCAATTAATGATGTTTTATTTTGAATTGTAAATTTATAATATAACTCTCCATCAGAAAATTGTTTTCGGATAACAGGAAGAATTGGGTATCTAAGTTTTTCAGCTAAAAGATCAGCAAAGTATTTACTTCTTTTCGTATGTACAATCAATGGGAGATTAAGATAGTTGGACATGTGTAAAATTATAACTAATTTTAAAGTTGGACATTATTAACTTTATTTCCAACCCTAAATAACTCCATCAATTATAAAAGCAAATAAACTTGTTTTTCGAATATTTATTTTTATTTTCATTAAAAATGTAATTTTTGCACAAAACTACTTTCATCATTTCTAAACTTTAAACGAGTTTTTAATAAAAATAATTAGAAAATTCCTTCACTAAAATGTATTAATTTAGTCATAACACCACTTATTAGTCACTCCATTCATCATCATCATCGTCTTCTTCTTCTTCAGATGTGTCAACCTCAATGTCTTTACGTCTATTTGCCATAGCATTAGCAAGCATACTAGTTAGATCATCTTGTTGTGCCACAGTCATTTTCTTTTCTGGTAATGGTTCAGTTTTCTTAAGGACATGTCCTCCTTTGCTAATATCATCAAGAAATGATCTTCCACCAGTTGGTAACGAGACAGCTGGTGTAGTTTTTGGATTAGGAGATGTTGTATTTAATGTAGGAGGAGGTGGTGGTGGAACATTTAAATTAGGAGGAGGTGGTGGAACGTTCAAATTAGGAGGAGGTGGTGGATTACCTGATGTTGGAGGAATATTATTATCTGAACGAGAAGGTAATGTAGGTGGTACCTTACGACTAGGAAGAGGAGGTGGTGGACGTCTTGTTTGAGTATTAGGTTCTGGTGTTTCATTATTAGATGGAATAATTGGAGCAGAAGGTGTTTCTAATTCACATTCAGGTTTTTTAACGGTTTGAGGAGAATTAGTACTAGGGATGGCTGTATTTTTATTAGAGTTTGGAATATCAATTTCTTCAAAATCTTCTAACTCAGCATTTCTTTGTTTACCATTGGGTAATGAAGTTTTCACTAATGAATTTTCTGAACCAGGAGTAGCTGTTAATTGGTCTAATACACTTTGGTCACATTTACCTTCTTTAACTGCTTGTTCAACTGTAGCAATAAGTAATTTAACAGTTTCTGGATTACATAAATCTTTTCTCTTTAATCCAGCTGCTTTTAAAACACCCCTTAATTCTGGTGTTAATTTTTTGAGGTCAATAAGAACTTGTTTTTTAGCTTTAATCAATTCTCCAACTTCTTCACCAAAATTTGTACTAGAAGTAGCCATTTTTTGAATTTCAGCTTCATTTGCTTTCAAAACATCCACTATTTGTTGTAATGCATTCTTTTCTTTTTCAAATAAATTGCAAAATAGTTGAATCAATCCACAATATAATTCTCTTACCATTTTAGTTGTGTCATGAAGTCCTTGAACAATACATTGTTGTTTTAAAGTTTCTGTTTGTTTTACTTCTTCCATAAATTGTTTTAATTCAGTGGGTTGAGCCTTTAACTTTTTTTGTGATAAAGCAAGATTAGAGTCAGCACGTTTCAAATCATTTCTATATCTATCTTCAAAATTAGAAACCATACGAGGGTATTCAGAGGCATTCTTTTTTAAAATAGGTATTATTTGGTCATTAAAATATCTAGCTGTTTCATTTCTTCCAGCAAACATAACTTGTAAAATATCAATAATATTATTTACTCCTTGATCTAAATCATTAATTCCAGTATTACTTTGTAATACCAATGAATCAGTTAATATTTTAGTTTGTGTTGCATGAGCAGATTCACTTTTACAATAACCTTCACTTGCAGAGATCAATTTTTTATAATTTTTCATAGCTCCTTTGATAGCCTTATATCTTAGTTACTTTTCATTTAAAAAACTCAAGAAAATTAATCCAAACATTAATATTCTTTTTAATATATTCTTCCATTTTTTTTTCATCTTTCTTTTCTTTCATTAAATACGTGTTGCTCATACTGCGTTATATGAATATTTTTAGTTCAAATAAATCTCATTAGATAACAAATTTTTTTTTTTAAATTTTCTAAAAACAAAAAAAAGAATTTTTATGATATAAAAAACTAAAATTTATTTTAAATAAACATCTTAAAAAACTCATAAATTAACCTTCAAAATTAATGGATACTCCAATTCAAATTCAAAAACGAAAAGAAGGGTATAAAAGAGTGATTTTTTGTAGTACAAAAGTTATAATAATAAATATAATAGTAAATGGAATATTATTAATTTTATATAATTCGATAACAAAAAGAAATATAACAAGTATTATTATTATTTCAATAACTAATGGAATTAATGTTATTATACTTCATTGGAAATGTACAGACAATAAAATATTTAGTGATGAACCAGGGTTATATTTTATTACTAAAAGAGGATTAAATTGTTTAATAACAATTGTTATAAGTTCTATTGTTTTAGGAATTATTTCATTTTATGAATATGGTTTATTAGCTCAATATTATATAGAAAATACTTTAATTGATGAATCAGTTACATTAATGATTCATTGTGGAATTTATTATGGATTGTCTTCTTCAATCTTTTATTTATTTTTAGATAGATTATATATTCCTTATTATTCGGTTCTTCCTGAAACTAAATCAAATTGGATACAACAAACATTAAGACAAAGTATAATTACATTTATATGTAATTTATTTATCTTTGTATTTATAATTTTTACAGTAAAAATGTATTATTTAATGATGTATGGTTTTCAACCAATTGTTTCTCGTTTCAGTTTTTCTAATATTTTTACATTAATACCAATAATATTAATTTACAGTATATTTACTAGATTATCATTTAATTCTCTAAGTGAAATAATGAGTATTGAATTACCTTTAGAAGATAAATTTAATTAATTTATTTTTCTTTTATTAATTTATTAAGTTAATTATCTCCAATTAACTAAAATACAAGATGGTGCAATATTTTGTGTGTATAGAAAATCAAAAATAATGAAAAATGAAAGATTGAAATACTCGACAATTTGTAAAGACAAGATAGCTACAGTAGAACACATTTTACTATCTTGTATTGGTCATAAAAAATCACAAATGGAAAAACATGACAATATAGGCATTATAATCATATTGATTAATAAGAAAATATACATGAAATAAACAATATAAAAAACCTCCATATGAAACAATGTTCAAATATAAAGACATCACAATGATATTGAACAAACAAATAATGCCTAAAAGTGATGAAAATATCACAAAATACCAGATATATATGTATTAGATAAAAAGAATAAAACTAGTCTAATATTTGATATGACGATATTAATTGAACCTATTTGAAGAAAAGAAATAAGTATAATGAATTAAAGAATATTCTAATGAAAATAGAAAAGTTAAAAGATGTCAAAATAATTCCAGTAGTAATTTCAATAAATGGATTAATGAATAAAGAAAGTAATAAATTAATTAAAGAATTAAAAATTGAGATTGACATCGAAAAAGAAATTAAAAACCTTGTAATAAAAAACATGATGGATGTCATGGAATACTGCTTCTGTAACAATAAAACATACTCCGTAGAGCTACTTGAAGATGAAGTTACAGTATTAGTCTCCCCTGAGCCAGGAAGAATAGAAACTATTTCTATTAATACTTAATTAATATGCTTATTATTAATTTATTAAATTAATTAAAAAATATAATAAAAGTATTATAATAAAATCATACTTATTCTTTGTCTTTTTTTTTGTTCTTTTAATTAATTAAATGGAAGAAATTTAATAGGAAGTTGCCATTGATGATCTTCAACTAAAAATGCTTCACACCAATTTTTCCATAATGATTTTTTAAATTTATTTTTAAATATTAATCCTGAACTAAGAGAAGAAATAAATTGTAAACATTCAATAGTAGTACAGTTAAATGAAATAAAAATTGTTTGAACCAATAAAAGAATAAGTAATGAAATACCACAAGAGAATGAAATACATAATCCAACTAATGAAGGAACAAAAGAGAAATTAGGGATGAATGAACGGTAATAAAGAATTAATACTATTTTTCTAAAATTTGTTATTGTAACTATTGTTCCATATAAAAGAAATAAATAAAAATATCGAATATTATGTAATCCAATACAACAATTCATCCATGAACAATGATGATCCATTCTTAATGTACATCTATTTAAATTAATATATTTATTTCTCTTCTTCTTGTTTTATTTATTTCTTTAAAAGATATAAATTAAAAATATTTAAATATCAAACGAATTACATGTTCTACAATGATGAACTCTAAAATATTTTTCTTTACAACATATTTTACAATATCCTGTTCTTTTAAATGAATAATAACGAAATGAAATTTTATTTTTTGATGTATTTTTACATTTTATTAAGAAATATTCAATACAAAAAAAACAATAACAATTAATACTTTGTATAAACATATTATTTAATGAACTAATTGGATATATTAAATTATATTGTGGTATTATATTAAAACTACTTAAAATAAATAATAATATTGTTAATAAATGTACACAATAATATGCAATTGTTGATAATGAATGTTCAATAGAATCATAGAATTTATTAAGTTTCCTTTCTTTTGAATTCATTTCTATTTATTTAGTTCATCAGATTAAAATTCAAATATTTTTATTTGAAAAAAAAAAAAAAAAAAAAAAAAAAACAAATCAATTATGATTAACCTTATTTTTAGGTTTTTCATCATGTTGAGAAGTGAGTGAATCAGTTTCTTCAACACGCTTTATTTCTATTCAAATAAAGTTTTTGCAAGCATGCTCGACTTAAATGGTTCCTCAATTAAGTTGCTGCCTGACTTTTATTTTGATTTTAATGAGTAATATAATATTTCTCATTCTTTATATTGTTGTTTTAAGGAGAGTATATCCATAACATACTGTTATAGCTCATCTCCTTTTACCTTCGACACCCCTTAAAGAAACCCTATTCCTTGATAATATCCTTATTTTTAATTTTTGTGCAACAATATCAATTATATATGCGTCTTCTTTAATAAATGATAATTCTTAATACATAATACCTCCTTAGTAAATAATAATCCTTATAAATAATAATGAATAACAATACACGTTAATGAATAACAATACACGTTAATGAATAATAATCTTTTATAATAATCACTTCTAATAAATATTAATAATAATAAACAGTTAGTGTTGAATAGATATTATCTCACCAAAGGCACGTCATGACCAGACGATAACTGGGAGATTCGAAGCATGGGATTATTTTAGGGTTTCATGTGGTGTCTCTGACGTGCCATCTTCGAATCTCAAATATTTTTATTTGAAAATTAAAATAAAGAAAAAAAAACAAAAGCTTTTTTTCAATAGGTTTGCAATGAATTATCTCATACATTCTTGTATGATGTTTCAATGTCAAGTTGAGTTGCTTTTAAAATCAAAAAACTTAAGTTGATTTATTACTCATGTCTTTCATTTTATCAGCAACAAAGAGTTTATTTTAACCTTAAAAAAAACTCTGAAAAAGGTTTTAGAAATCATCAGCTTTATATCCTTACACTGAAGGGTTGTAAGCTGATGATTGAATAAAACCATTGTCATTACAATTTGACCAAAAGAAGTTTTCATTATTCTCAACAACTGGTGTTTCAACTGTGGTTAATATAAAATAATAATTAGGATTTGACTCTATATAATTATTATAATAAGTAAAATTGCTAATCAAATCACAAGACCCATTTTGAGAATTGTAATAATTAATAAATTGTTGTTCTTCATTAATTGGCATTGGTGGAAGTTCATTATCATACTGAGAACTTGTTTGTGCATTAAATGTTGCTTCTAAAAATTCATTGTGTGTATTTAGTTCGTTTAATTTTTTATATTCACTTTGTTCAGTTTTTATTGGCTCAATAGTAATAACTCTAGTCTCATCATCTTCATCGTCTTTCCTAACCTCACTCACATAACTTGGTCTAACAATACATTCCGGACAAATAACATCATTAGTTGAACCAATATGTGAAGAAATAGAAATAGGTTGCATCATACGATGAAGTGGTTTAAGACTAAATTCATTTGGTAATTTAAAGTTGTTAATAAATGATGATAATGGGAGCTCAACATTAGAAATCATCAGTGAAGTATCACGTTTGTGACCACGGACAACACTCTTGAGCTCCTTATTGAGTAAACCTCCAATACGAGCGATGTCCTCTCCACTGATGACAATTGCCCCCAAAGATAAAACACTAATACGTGACATTTTTAATGTAACAGAAGAATTTTTAGTATTCTTTAAAACAATTTTCCATCCTAATTGTTCAAGCATACAAATTAATGAATTGTTAGTAGCGGCTGTATGATTTCTTTTATTATATTTAGTATAATGACTTTTACTTTCATCAACTGTCTTTCCACTCGTATAAATCAAATGTTCGATATATTCAGCAAAATTGTATATTTCTTCATCAATTATTACTTCTTTAATATCCATAAATTGACAAGTGTCTGAACTTTTTCGTGGACTTTGAATAATGAATTTGATTCCATATTGAGTAAGAAGAGCCATTAATGTTGTTTCTTGTTCAGCCTCAAATGAAACAGAAATTCGTTTGGCTTCAGTGCCATTTTTGGTGTTTCTTAATGCAGAAGACATCACAGTAACTGAAAAAAGTTTTCAAATCTAAGTTGTTCTTCCCCATTTATTAGGACCCTTTAGTTTTGAGTCATTGAGAATAACAATCCATTATTCCTTTTACTTAATCAAATTAGTATAGAAGGGTATAGAAATAATTATTTTTTATTGAAAGTCCTTTGAGGTTGAGTTTAAATATCCTAATCTTCTCAGTTTTTCCCGAAAATATCTGGATATAACAGAAAGAACAAAAATTTTCCTTTTTTTTTCATTAAAAAGTGATACTTCAATAATAATTTGAATGTAATAAGTTGTTATTTTTATTATTTATAAGATGAAAACTCAATATACTAAAACTAATATTCTGCAAAAAGAAAAAACTAAAGACTCATAAATCTTGTTTAATACTTTAATTAAATAAAATTTTATTAACCCTAGTTATTTTTAAAAATAAAACAAGAGAAGAACAATCTTTATTTATTTTTATTTTTTTTTTCTTTATTGAAAATAAAAAGAAAATAAAGATTCTTGAAGTATCAATGACACTTTATTGATGTATAGTTGATATAGTAAGAAAATTGCATAAATATGTTTTTTTATTTTATAATATGTTTTTATAATGTTATTGGATAGAATATTTTAAAAAAAAAATTGTTTTTTTTTGTAATACTTTTTTAAATGGGATAAATAACATAATATTAATTGAATTACAAAAATAACAAAAAAGCCAAAAAATAACGAAAAAAAATAAAAATAAAAAAACAAAACTTAAAAAAACAAATTAAAATCTCTCAAATAATGAGCAAAGAGCCTAAATTACCAAGACAACCAAATACACAGAAAAAAGTTGCTTCAATTAATGATCCATCAGTTGCAAAGGATCTTAATCCTATTCGTTGTACAATAATTGAAGATGGAGTATGTAAAGAAAAAGAATATGAAAAAGTAAAATTATTAGGAAGAGGTGGTTTTGGAACAGTATTTAAAGTAATTGAAAAAGGTACTAATAAAGAATATGCAGCTAAAGTTATTCGTAAAGAACCATTAAAAGGAGTGTTTTTAACAAAACTTAAAAGTGAAATTGAAATACATAATTCATTAGATAATTGTAGAATAGTAAAATTACAAGATGTATTTGAAGATAATAAATATGTATATATTTTACTTAACTTATGTAATCAAGAAACATTAAAAGAAGTATTAGTTAAAAGAAAGAAATTACATGAACCAGAAATAGCATATTGGATGAAACAAGTATTAGAAGGAATAGTATATCTTCATAGTTGTAAAATTATTCATAGAGACTTAAAATTAGCTAATATTTTTATTCATAATATGAATGTTAAAATTGGTGACTTTGGTTTAGCTGCTAGAATAGATCAAGAACATAAAAATAGAATGACTATGTGTGGTACTCCAACATCAATGGCACCTGAAATTATTGCAAAAACTGGTCATTCATATCAAGTAGATATTTGGGCATTTGGTGTTATGTTATATTATTTAAAATTTGGAATTACTCCTTTTAATTCTTCAACAAGAGAAGTTGTATATAAAAGAATTGAAAAATGTGAGTTTTCTTTTCCAAAACGTCCTATTTCTGATACATTAGTAAAATTAATTAGTGCTTTATTACAAAAAGATTCTTCTTTACGTCCAAGTGCATCAGAAATATTAGAATATTCATTTTTTGCACCAAACAGAGTTCCAAATAGTTTACCTGTAGAAGCCTTATCAAAAGATATTGATTGTACAATGTTAGAGTTTGGAGGAAGTGGTATAAATGATATAAATTCTATTCATGACAATCCAAGTGAATCTATTATTGCATCACTTAAAATGATTTTATCTAAAAGACCAGCAGAAAATGCATGTATTATTTCAGGGTCAGAATATAATTATATTGTTGATTATCTAGATAAAACAGATAAGTACGGTGTATTATATATGTTAGATGATGGAACTATTGCAGCTAATTTTAATGATAGTACTTCTATGTTTATGAGTAATGGATTTTATACTTATTTTGCTAGAGATATGAGTAGACTAGATATTGAAGCACAAAAAATTGATTCACAAGTTCATGACGTTAATAAAAAATGTCGTATTATTAATGGATTTTGTAAACAACTAAAAGGAGGTAATCCAGAAAAAACTGGATTAAAAACTTGTCTTGTTCGTAAGTTTATTGTAAGAGAAGACTTTAATGTATTTTTATTTACAGACAACTCACTTCAAGTTTTCTTTACTGGAACAAATCCAATATCATATTTTGTTGACCCGTATAATATGATATTAACAATTCTTAAAAGTTCTAATGAAAAATATACATGTGCTGTTGATTGTCATAAAGCTATGTTATGGGATTCTGATGCATCTCAACATTTCAGTCTTTTAGATTTATTATTACAAGAATTCTCTAATAAAATTGAAATGGTGTAATGATATGAAAAAGAAAATAATACTTATCAAATGATTGAATCTTTTTCTATTTTATATTATTTATGTATTACTTTTATTTTTTTTTTTTGTTATCCAAAAACATATAAAAAAAGAAAGTTATAAAAAAATATTGATTTTTAATGAGTATGTAATGTAAGATATTCTTCATATTGAGTTAATATCAATAACATTGAAAAATTATTACTTATTTGTGCATAATCCATACACTGACTAAATACCTCCTTAAATAATGATGAATCTTCATCATCAATAAGATAACTTAATGTCATTGCAACTTCAATAGTTAAATATTGACTTAAATTCCATGTTTTTTGAGAATAAAATAAAATAATCTCCTGAATAATACGAAGATAAATTTGATGAACACAATTTGATTCATTGACAAGTAATTTACCAAAATCTCGAATAAGAAAAGCTAACATTAAATCCATTTCTTCATTACTCATATTAAGTGATGTCACATCATGAAGTAATTCATCTAATTGACTTTGTTTTTCTATTCTATATAATCAATATATAAATATTTATTAAATGGATTGATAAAAAACAAACATTTCAAGGTTATTAAGACTTTGTTTTGTTAATTTAGAACTACTCTTATTTACAGTCGGTTTATAAAATACTGAAAGATTAGACATAAAAGGATAGTTATAACTCTCTTTTGTTAAATGTTTGTATCGTTCATTATAAACTCGAATAAATGCAGCCATAATATCAGGTGTTGGTGAACAAAGAACTCGATATAATAATGAAGGAATAAGTGTTCTTACTAATAATTCACACTTTTCATCACTAGCTAATTGATAAATAAATTGACCAACACAAACTGTTAAATTATTATGGATTATTTCATTAATTTTTTGAATAATATTAGAATTTTCAACAATAGTCTTACACTTTTTATCGTCTAATTCATTAATCTTCATTCCTAAAATTTCTTCCCAATTCACGTTCTCACTCATCAACTTCTTCAACTTAAAAATTTTTTTATTTTTTTTCTTTCATTTTTTTATTTCTTTGTTCTTTCAACAATCTTCTTAACCCTAATTCAATTTACCATTCTTTCCAATGGAACATCATAAATCAGGTAGTTTATCTCAAAAGAATAAACCTTTTAAACGTAGGACTGGTTCTAAAAGACAACAAAAGATTAAAGGAAAAAAGAAAACTGAAGCAGTTTCTTGTAGACCAATTTTGGCTGATCCAAAGGAAGTTAGAAGAAATCAACAAAAACAAAGACAAATGGCTTCAAGACAAAAACAATTAGAAAGAAATAGAAAAGAAAAAATGGGAATTGGTGCTCCAAGACTTGTTGGGTTTATGAGTCTTGGAGGTGGAAATGTTCAACAAACTGTTCAAACATTATCTCAACATTGGACTGTTGCAAGTGTTAGGGGTGATATTACATATGTCAAAACAGAATTTAATAAACGATTAGCTCTTTGGTTTACACAACAAGATATTTGGAATAGAATGGATGTTGGTAAAATTGCTGATATTATGGTATTTGTTATTGGAGGAGAAACAACACCAGAAGAAGAAGAAAAATTAGATTTCTTGGTTGCTCAAGGATTAGGTGATATTGTTTTATTAGGAGAGAAAGGAAAATTAAAGAAAGGAAGATGGTCTGGAATGAGAGTATATGACGCAGAGAAAGAAGGGGGATTAATTGTTAGAAATTTGTGTGATATGGCTGTTAAAACTAAGATTGAAGGACCTGGGTATTTTGTTATTGATTCAGCAGAAAAGAAAGAAGATGGAGTTGTTATCAATGGGTATGTAAGAAGGTCACAACTAAGTCGATTATATAGTGGGTATATTGTTGGTATTGGAGATGTTAGTGTTAAGGCTATAGGAACTGATATTGACCCTTATGGTGTTGGAAATAAAACTGAGCATTCATTCGAGATAGAACAAGAAGAGGTAGATGAAGAAGAAAAAGAAGAAGAATCTAATGAAATGAGTGAAGAAGAAGTTTCAGAACCTCAAAACAATACTACTACTGTAGTTCATATTACTAAAAAAGTACCAGTTGGAGCAGGAAGTTATACAGGAGCTTGGATTGTTGGTGATGAAGGAGAAGAGCTTGAAGAACAAGTTGTTGAGGAAATTGAAGAAGATGATATGAATGTTGATGATGTTTTAGATATGGAAGAAGAAAATGAAGAACATGTTAATGAAACTGATGAAGAAAGAACAAATAGGTTATTTAATGAATATATGGAATTTCCTGATAGATATAGAGTTAAACGAGGAGAGTCAGCTAAAGAAACTTTTAAAGGATATAGAGGACTTAGGTCATTAAGACAAAGTGAATGGGATTGTGATGAAGAATTACCAAAAGAATATAATGATCTTGTTCAATTTGATAATTATAAAAGAATGTGTGAATGTTTTAAAGATGTAGAAGATGGAGTTGAAGAAGGGACATATGTTTCAGTTTATATATCAACACCACAATATGCAGGTTCTTTAGTAAACAAAGTTTTTTGTTCATTAAGACAATATGAAAATGAACAATCAATTATACATGTATTATTTACAATAGAACCAGACTCATTACCATTAAAATCAAATACAACATTTACAATCCAAATTGGAGATAGAAGATATCAAAGAAATATTGTATTTACTGAAAATGGAATGATGGGAAATAAATATAAAATAATTCGATGGGCTGCTCCTGGTAGTTGTGTTATTGGATCATTTTATGGATATATAACATATCCACCAGCACCTGCGATGTTATTTATGAACGTTGATGGAAATGAAGAACTTGTTGCTACTGGAACAGTAGATAATGTAGATCCATCAAGAATATTAATCGAAAGAGTATTATTAACAGGAACACCAATTAAAATTGGTAAAAGAAAAGCAACTATTAGAGGATTATTTACTCAACCATCAGATGCTAAATGGTTTAAACCTATTGAATTATTTACAAAACAAGGAGTGTGTGGAAATATTTTATGTTCTTTAGGTGAAAAAGGTTTAGTTAAATGTACATTTGAACAACAATTAAAATCAAATGATGTTGTAACTTTAGCATTGTACAGAAGAGTTTTCCCTCTTCCACCACTTGTTTCTGCTAATTGATTGAGTTTTTAATTTATTTGTTCAATATAAATTATTATTTAAAAAATCAATCATTTAAAAAGCAGCTTCATAAAGTTCATTTAATTCATCCATTTGTCTAATAAGTTCTTTACAACCATCTTCCATTACATCAAAAGGAGTTTTATTGCTTGATTTTTGTGTTTGAATTCTGAAAACAACTTTTGTATCACTTGGATGAGGAATACTATATCCGCACAAATCTGTGTCTGGTAAATTTGCAATAACATGTCTTAATGGGTTAGCAAAAGTGTGATCTTCTCCTTCGATAGTATAACTAATACCGTTTGACATCTATCAAATTTTAAATCTAAGTTTTTTTTAGGGTTTTTATTTTTTTTCATTTTTATTGATACTTTCATTCACATTAAATTTCATCTTTTTTTTCTTTTCATTTAACATATTTCCTTTTTCTTTATTTCTTTTTTAAAAAAAAACTTCACTTCTTAATTCTTTTAATTCTTAATATTCTTGTTTGAATCTTTTTTTTTATTTAGAATAAGTCTATATTCAATTGTCATTCTCTCTTGTACAATATATTTCATTTGATTCATTCATATATTATTGATGATGTCCAATACTTGTTGTATTTTTTTTTTATTACTTTTATTCTATACTTCAACTTTTTTTAATTATTTATAAAATTCATATCAACTCCATAATAAAATTTATATCAGTTTATTATCAGAATATCATTTTATTATAGAGAATGACTAAATTATTTTTAAGAAAAATTGATTAGAACAATATCAATTATCTTAATAATCATAATTTTAACATCTATTCTATTTTTATTAAGATTAATGACAACAAAAAATCTCTTTTTTTATTTTGACGTCAATGTTAATATATACAAAAAAATAATCTCAAAACAACACAAATAAAAAAGAAAATAAACTGGAGTTTAAATTAGTGAAGATAAGAAATCATATCAGAAAGATCTCTTTTAATCCAGTCTGCACGATTTAACATTTTCTCTAATGATTGTTTAATAGTATTTTCAGAACCTACAGCTGGATGGTCAATAAAGAATTGAGTGTAGTATTGATATTTTTCATGAGATGAATAATGTCCTAAAAGTCCTTCTAAAATCCAATTTCTAATAGAAGACATTCCTGTACCAAATTTCTCATTAATATAATCAATATGACTTTCTACCCATTGACAAGGAAGTTCACTTTCACCTAATAATGAAAGAATCATAATAAAACAGAAATCTTGCTGTCTAACTTTATTAACTGCAAAATCAATAACTTTTTTAATAATTTCTTCATTTTTAACTAATCCTAATCCTCTTAATGCATTTCTTTTTATTTCTGGTGTTTCTCCATTCAAATATAACTGACATAATTTCTCAAAAATTGGTTCTGTAGCATTTCTTCCAGCAATTGAACAAATTGGTTGTCTCATTTCTGCATCAATTTTACTTAAATCACCAACTTCAATAACATTAAAAGCTTCTTTAATACTTTCTTGGTTATTAAGAGTTGTTAAACATAAACTTCTTAACTTAGCATCTTCTATAGGTTCACCTGGAATAGTTTTTAATCCTAATTGTTGTAATGCAGGTCCAAGTAATCTTTCTCTTTGTTGAATAACAAATTGAGCAACTTCAGTTCCTCTAAAAATATTTTTAAGTTCAGTTAAATGTTCACAAACAACTCGTGCAACTTGATAAGTATCTGATACAAATGGTTTTAAAGTTTCAATAAAGGCAAGATAATTTTTTGATGAAACTTTACCAAGTTTACATAATGAATATAAATCATCAAGAATACCCATTGTTTCAATTTGACATAAGGTTTGGTGTTGAAGAATATTAAGTAATTGTTCAGAATATTGAACTCTATAAAATCCAGTACTCATAGTATTAGCAATAACATAAGGTTGATTCCATTCAATACATGCACTTTTTTCTGTTAATAAATATGTTTGTTTATATTCTCCACATGAAAGAATCATTGGTATTTTCCATAATTGTTCTGACTTACACCCACATCTTTCTTGTGAAATAAATAATTTATTGTTTTCTATTTTAACTGAAACAACTGGAAAACCTGCTTTATATGTCCATTCTTGAACTATGTCTTTTAAATTAATACCACAAACTTCTCCAACACATTCCCACATCTCATCACTAATTGCATTCCCATACATATACTTCTTCAAATATAAACTAATTCCTTTCATAAATTTATCAAATCCAACATAATTAATCATCATATCAATCAATGCACTACCTTTATCATATGAAATTAAATCAAATAATTGTTCTATATCACTAGCTTTCTTTACTGGAACACTAATTGGATGAGTTGAAATACATCCATCTGAATCTAGAGCTGGAAGAACTGACTCAAACTCATTTGATACATTCATATGCCATTCAGGGAATAAAGTGGCTGTAGCAAATAAATCTCCCATATAACTAGCAAATCCTTCATTAAGCCAAAGATCATTCCACCATTTCATTGTAACTAAATCACCAAACCACATATGTGCTAATTCATGACATACAACACTGGCACAACGTTTTAGTGATTGACTAGAAGCATTTTCTTGGAGAACAACTTCAGATTCACGTGAAGTAACACATCCCCAATTTTCCATTGCACCAGCTTCAAAGTCTGGTAAAGCTATCCAATCACATTTTGGTAGTGGATATTTAATATCATATGCTTGTTCATATAATGTAAGACATTTACTCATAGTTTCAAGAGCAAATTTGGATACATTTTTATGGTTTCTTGGGAAATGAAGTCCTAGTTTAATTCCTCTGACTGTTTCTCCATAATAACTAGTAAACTCTCCATTAATAAAAGCAATTAAATAAGTGGACATCTTTAAAGTTCTTTCAAATTCAACAATTTTAAATTCTCCATGTTCTGTAACAACTTTAATTGGCATATTAGAAAAACAGTCATCTCCTTTAGGTACTTCCATTATTATATCAAAAGTGGCTTTATAATTTGGTTCATCAAAACATGGGAATGCTTTACGTGCAGAAGATGGTTCAAATTGAGTACAACAAATAATTTTAGTTTTACCATCAATTTCATATTTTGATTGATAAAATCCACATAAATCATCTGCAGGAAGGCATCCATTATACTCAATTTCAATTTCATATTCTCCTTGTTCAAAATGAACTCCAGTAAAAATTAATTGTTCTTTTTCTTTATCTTCTTTGACAACTAATTCATGAAGTTGAGGCTTAATACAACGAGATTTAATGTCTTTTATTCCAACACCATTCAAAATAAGTTCATCTGTTGGTTGAATACAATTAATTACAATATTTGTTTTACCATAATTTAAACTTAGTGCAGGGTCAGGTTTAACATAGATTTTATAATGTAAAGGAATAAAGTTAGTTGGCAAAATTTCAGTCATAAAATAATTATAAAGTTCTCAAAAATTTTTAGTTTAAATGATTGAAAGAACTTTTATGACGACTCATTAATACATCATTGAGGTTTATTAAATAAATCAATTAATTTAATGAAAGAGAAGACTAAATATATTCTGGTTCATCTTTTATTTCATTTTCTATTTGAATAGTGGTAGTTGGTTGATTTGTTATATTATTTTGAGAATTTTCTTCCTTCTCTTCTTTAATATTAAATTCCATCATTAATTCATTAACACTCATTCCTTCCCATACAGTAACATTTTTTCCATTCATATTAAAGTTATAACAGAAATCTTTTGTTTTACATTCATTTAGACATTCTTCAAATAATAAATCATCTTCTTTGTTTTCATCACCTTTACTTTCTTCTTCATTTCGAGGAAATTCCCTAACAATTTCTTGCATTGTTCCCATAGCACTCATCATTGGTTGCATAGACACTAATAAATCTTCAAAATTACCATCATCGGGAATATAAGTAAGGTTACGTGCTTTACAATACTTTTCAAGTATTAATTGAGCACCAAATACTCCCATCATATCATTAAATTGTGCATTTTTACCAGACATTTTTTGATGACCTTTCATGAAAGTTTTAATAAATTGTTCAACACCTTTTAAATCATTTTTGAATAAAAGCCTAGCAGAATCAACAGTTTTTACAACAGTATCTTCAAAAAGATTCATCATAGCTTCTGGATATTTTTTACCATATTTTGTCTCAATTCCTTTTGCAGCATCAAGAAATGGAACAAGAGCAAATCGAAGAGCATCAGAAATAAAATAAAATGGATCACCTAATTCATTTTTTAATGACTTCATAATATTTTTATCAATTGGACGTACCCTATGTTCTATAAGATCTGTAACAATCATATTAGTTAATTCAACACTAGAAATATTTGGATATCCTTCTAAAAATTTATTTACTCCAACTTTCATTTTTTCCATAGCTTCATATCTACTTCCCATAAATTCAAGAATATCATCTGTGTTAAATGAATTTAAACAAGCATCATATAATTTACCAAATATAGTAACACTATCATTCTTTCTTTTATAAAATGATTCATTATTTGTTTTACCTTGATATCGTTGACGTGCTGCACCATAAAGTTCTTCAAATGATTGTACAAATTCATCATATCCATCATTTTCATCTTCAACTGACTCAAGGTTATATTGGTAATATGCTAAATCTAAACAATTTGAAAAAAGGTCTTCATCACTCAAAGGTTTTGGTTTAGGTGGTGTTTGCATTTTTACTTTTTATTATCACAAATTTTTAGTTTTAACAAAATTTTATTTATTTATTTATTTTTTTGATTAAAGCAAAGACGAAAAAAACTAATAAAAAGTAATAATAATTAATAATATTCATATAATTAATAAAAAACAAAGTTTAAAAAATTACTTTTTGTTTTAGAATTATAATTTGTAGATGATAAAAAGAGAAAAAAGCATTTCATGAAATCAATACTTGAAATATGTCAAAATGGAGGTACTAATGAATTAATTAAAATGATTGACGATGGAATACCTTTTAATTCACCTGATGAAAATGGAATGTATCCTATTCATTATGCAGCATTATTTGGAAATGAAGCAGTTATTAGAGTATTAATAAAACATGGTGCAGATGTTAATGTACAAACAATCAATGGAAAAACTCCATTACATTTTGCTGTACAAGGAGGTAGATTAACATTAACTAGAATACTTCTTCATGACAATGCAAACCCAGCAATTGTTGATTCACAAAAGAATAATGCATTGACATTAGCATGTAAACGAGGATTTTTACCAATCGCAGAATATATATTAATTCATTCAAATGGACTTGCATCAACAGCCATTGACTATTGTTGTAAAGAGAATTATATAAATTTAATTAGAATGTTTATTGATTATGTTACACCACAAGAATTAATGGAAGGATTATCTAAAATGAACTTATCAAAATGGGGTGATTTATCATCTAAATTAATGGTTCCATCTGGAGATTTTACTTATGAAATTGACTGTCAACCATTTGATAAACAACTTTGTGACTACTTTATTAATTCTACACCTCCTTTAGACGCACCTTTAAACGTTCATTCTTCTATTATATTTAATGAAATACCATACTTTGCTTTAATCCCTTCTAATTCACAAGTTTCTTTATCACCAGAACCTCTTATTGTAATGTTGAATTATTGTTATACACACACAATTGATTCTTTATTATTAAGCCATAAACCTATTACTTACGGTATTGAAATTCTTCGTCTTTCTCATCCACAACGTCTAGGTTCAATAGTTCCATTAATAACAAAAGTAATTGAACAAATTATTCAAAGTGATTTATCTGAAATTGGTATATTAGTTGAATTCTTTAAAACACAAGACCATCGTTATTTTTATGAATCATTATTTCAAGGTTTAATATCTACTTTATTAAAACATATTTCAGTACCATCTGTTTTAGAATCAGTTCAATCTCTTCCACGTGGATTTATAGATGATATGATTAACCTTTTACCAACACAATATCCAGATATTCAATTACCAAATTATAATGAATTAAAGAATCTTCAATGGTGATTATTTGATTGATTTATTCTTCATTAATTCTATTTCTATTAGTATTTTTAATAAAAACTTTAAAAAAAAATATGTAACAAAATAAAAAAATTAATTATTAGAGTAAAACACACCCTCCTTTCTTTTTCTCTCTATTTTTTTCTGATTGTTTCTTTCCACTTTTTTTATTTGATGACTTTGTACTATCTTCTTTTGGATTTAATGGTTCAAACAACATTTTCATCATTTGTTCATATAACTCTTTAATGCCTTCTCCTGTTTTAGCTGATACCTCAAAATATTCACAATTTAAGCTTTTGGCTACTTCTTCGCATTCTTCCTCTGATATTTTTTTATCGTTACTATCAATTTTGTTTCCTACAATTAATTTAAGATATTGTGATCCAATATATCTATCTCCATACGATAACCAATTTTTACAATTTTGTATAGAATCTTTTTCTGTTTCATCAAACATTGCAATTAATAAATTTGCATCATTATAAAATGTAGCAGTTGTACTAATATCTGTTCCTAATGGATCCATAAAATTTAAAATAACTTCTTTATTGTCATAAATTACTTTTTTATTTACCTATAAATCAATACTATTCAGTTACAAATGTTGTTTCTTTTCTTTTCTTTTTAATAAAACAAACAGAGACATCTTCAAATGGTGTTGATTCTTCAACAAATGTATCCTCAAGAAGTCTACGTACAAGAGATGTTTTACCTATTTTTTCATTTCCAATGACACAAATTTTAAAGCTATATTTCTGGGTCATTCAAATAAGTTTAGTTTTTTTAAGTTCTTTTCAATTTCTGTATTTCACTTTTCATCTTTTTTTCTTCAATCCCGAAAAATAGAACGTTATTTTATTTCTATACACATAATAATTGTATTAATATTTCTTTCTTTCTTGATTGAGTCAATAACTTTTCCTTGTCATTTGTTCAGAGGAAAGTAATTAAAAAAAAACGCAAAAAAAGTTAGCATTTTTAATTTAAAAATATATGTTTGTAATATGTTAATATTTTAAGTGAAATTGTTTCAAAAAAAATTATTTTAATAATTTATTTAATGGTTATTTATAAATAGATAGCGATGTAAATTTTGTGTTATTCTAAATAATTCAACTTATTTTTAGGTTGATTATTTTTAAATTCCTTCTTATTTATTTTTATTTATCCATTATTAAAATATGAAGTGTCTATGAATAGAACAATATATTATTAATAAATAATTTATTATCATTTTATTTTTGTATTAATTTTATATTTAAATATGACACTTTGATTCATTTAGAAAAAAGTATAAAACTTTCTAGAAATTGATTATTTTTAATTTCATTTTATGTGGTGTTGTTTTGCCAAATTTATTACATTTTAAGAGCATTCTTTAGCTAGTTTTTTATTAATTGTACCCAATATTAACAATTCCCATAAGTACAAAAAAATGTTATAATTTTATTGTCTCAGTTTTGTTATTTTTGTTATACTGAATTAATTCATCGATTTTTTGTTTCATTGTGGAATATCTTTTTCTTTTCTAAAAATTTAAATAATGTTAAAAATTATTTTTGTTATTTTTGTTATTTAAAAATAGTAGTTATTTTATATTACTCATCTTTCTATGTTCCATTGATTAACCCATGAATCTTATCAAATATGTTTTTTTTTCTTTTAACGTGTATTGAGAAAATCTATAGTAATACGTCAAAGTTAATGAATAAATTAAACCTAAACTTTAAATGCATAAACTCTTTTAAAGTCATTACTATTATAAAAACGAATCACGTATTAAAGAAAAAAAAACATTTTGAAAGAATAATAGTTTTTAGCAGAAGCAAAAACAAAAACACTTTATATACAATAAGCATATTAATTAAGTATTAATAGAATTAGTTTCTATTGTTAATGGATCAGGAGAGACTAATCACATCAATGAGCTTTCTTCTTGTAGCTCTACAGAGTATGTTTTGTTGTGATTGAAGCAGTATTCCATGACATCCATCATGTTTTTTATTACATGGTTTTTAATTTCTTTCTCGATGTCAATTTTTAATTCTTTAATTAATATAATACTTTCTTTATTCATTAATCCATTGATTGAGATTACTACTGGATTTATTCTGACATCTTTTAGTTTCTCTGTTTTAATTAGCCTATTCTTTAATTCATTATACATATTTCTTTTCTTCCAATATTCTCCATTAATATTGTGATCAGCCACAATAGTCATATCAAATAATAGACCAGTTTTATTCTTTTTATTTAATACGTATATATCTGGTATTTTGTGGTATTGTCCATCACTTTTAGGCATTATTTGTTTGTTCAATATCATTGTGATGTCTTTATATTTGAACATTGTTTCATATGGGGTTTTATATATTGTTTATTTCATGTATAGTTTCTTAGAAAAGAAAATTAAAACATAAAGAAATAAAAGATACTCAATTCGTTTAATTCATTATTCAATTCAAATTTATTTACTTATGAATTAAAAAAATAATTTATTTTTATTACTTAAGAATAGTTTATATTTATTTTTTCTCTTCAAATATTTATTCTTTTTGTATTATTTCTTTTATTCTATTTTATTTTTTGAATATACATCAGTTGAATTAACTACGTTATATTTTGATATATCTCATTTATCCAAATAACAAAAAGATGTAATAAGTAAAATAATTTATATTTTATTAGTATTTTAATTCATTATTTTAAATATTTCTTCAAAGAATATATAATTTATGAAACATCACATAAATAATATAAAAATAATTAATAAAATAAAGAAAAATTCATATCAATAATAAATATAAATTATATAATAATGAATGAAAATAAATATTATTTATATTATAATAACGATTACATGATATGAATTATTTCTTTTTTTATCATTGTTATTTTATCATTAATTCAAATAGAAGTAAATAATATCATAATACAAACAAATATTATAATAAAATACAACGAAGATACAATAAATATCAAAATAGAGAATAAAACCAAATAAGAAATAAATGAAATGATAGAAATAATGAATGTAATTCAATTAAATGAAAATGAATTACAAATGAAAATAAAATAGAGAAATAACATTTTGATGAAATAATTCATTTAATATCACTATTAATTTAAAATACAATAAATTAATGTGAATATTATATTTATTAAATTAACAATTAAAGTCAAATATGATATTACATTCATTTATATTAATAAATTTGAATTAAATATTGTTTTATATAACAAATAATTAAAATAAATTAAAAAAAGAAATTTCTAAATTTGAAGTGATAGAAATAAAGAAAGATAGAAATAAATACATTACATTCATTGATTTATTTATTTCTTTGTTATTCATATTGTCAAATTTTTGATATATTTATTAATTGAATATTTATTATTTGTATGAATACATTTCTATGATATTTTATTTATTCATTTTCATCAAATAAATAAAAAATAATAATTTATTGAAATATAAATTATTTGTTATTAATAATTTATATTAAAAAAATAAAAAAATAAAAAGAAAAAAAAATGAATGACGTTTATCTTAAAAATAAAAGAAGTTCAAACTAAAAATAAAAGAAGAACTAATAAATAATAAAATAATAAAGAAAGAATGAAACTTGGATATAATGAAATAATGATTTTCTCGAAGTATTTTGAAGGTATTAATGATTTTATTAAATTAGAAATGGGAGTTAAAAGATTTCAATGAAATATGGAACGATTTCATTTTAATCCAATTTCATTGAATCAATATTCAAGAAAATTGTTTCCTAATATTGAAACATTTCATATTTATAAAGAAGAAGATGAAATATTTAAAGATGGAAAAATATTTAAACAAATAATATGGTATGATGTGAGTTATTCAAGATATTTAGAAGAGAAAGAAGAAATGAATGAATATAAAAATATAGAATATACACAAGAAGATAGAGAAGAATATGGAAATACAATACCAAATGAAGTTACTTCACTTGGAAATAAAAGTTTTGCATATTGTTCATCATTAATATCAATTAATATACCAACAAATGTTAGTAAAATAGGAAATTGGTGTTTTTATGATTGTAAATCATTAACATCAATTAATATACCATCATCAATTACATCATCTGGAATTGGTTGTTTTTATGGATGTTGATGTGAAGAAGAATTAAAGAAGAATAAAACAATACCAAAATATTGCTTTAAATATTAAAGAAGAAATAAAGAAAGAAGATAATTGAATTATTAAAGAATAAAAAATGTTTATTTTATATTTTAAATGATAAGAAATACATAATAAACAAATTAATTGATAATGAAATAAAGAATGAAATATCAAATGAATGAAATAAAATCATTCATCATTTATTTAATTATTAATTTGTTATATTTATTTATTTTTAATTTATTTCATATTATTTATTTGTTTCAATATGTTGAATTGATATTTCATCTCTTATTAAATGATATTTCATTCTTTATATTTGTTTTGTAAAACTTTTATTCTTTAATTTTATTCTTCTTGTTATTTCTTCTTTCTTATTTATTTTAAATATCATTTTATTTTACACTTTTATTTTCTCTTTATATTCTTATTGTTTTTATTTTATTAATTCATACAATATTTGTTATTTAATTCAAATATAAAATAAATCATAAGAATAATGAAATAGAAATGATGAATAATAATGAAGAATCAATATAAACTTAATTATATTCTTTATTTTATTTTCATAATAATAAATAACAATATTAATCAATTTAAAATGATAATGACAATAAATATAAAATAAAACAATGATAAATTGATAAAATAAAAAGAATAGTTTTATTTTATTTTCATTTATTTTATTATTTAATTAAATATATGTTATTTCATTATTTATTTCATTTCTTATTATTTTCATTTATTTACAATATATGGTTGTATCAATTTGATATAATAATGATGATTTGTATTTATTTATCATATTTTGTTCAACATAAAAATAAAATACTAAATAAAAATAAAACAATTTCATAAATAATACACATTGAAATTATATATGAAATGATGAAATTAATAAAAATATAAAATAGTAAATAAAATGAAAAGTACCTCATGAATAATTAATGAATAATATAAAATAAATAAGAAATGAATAACAAAATAAAAGAATATTATTAGAATGAAGAAATTATTAATTCAATTTTATTAATGTTTATTTCTTATTTATTTAAATATTTTCATTGTATTTGCATTAACTTATCTATTTCTTTATTTTATTATCTATTGTTGTTTATTTTATTTCATTCACATAGAAAGTGAAATTGGAAATAACATATTAGATAGATGGTACAATAAGAATGGAATATGGAATAGAATTCAAAACACTAATTCATAAAATCCCAGAAACAAAAATAGAAGAAATAATAAATGAAAATATTGAAAAGAAAAAAGAAAAAGAAGTAGTAGTAGAAATAAAAAAATTATTGACAAATACATCAAAAAATGGAAGTGTCATCAAATTAGTAGATATTTCAGAAGATTATTTGAGTCAAAATGAGTAGATAAAACTACTACAGTAAAAGCATGGAAGTCCATCAATATTAAAAAGAATGCATTCCTACAATTTAACTAAAATGAATGATGGAGCAATATTTTGTGGGTATAGAAAATCAAAAATAATGAAAAATGAAATATTGAAATACTAAACACTTTGTAAAGACAAGATAGCAACAGTACAACACATTCTACTATCTTGTATTGGTTATAAAAAATCACAAATAG